ACCTGGACCCGCCCTTGGGTCACAGAAGCAGTAGTGCTTCTTGTCTTGCTAGATCAGAAGGAAGCAGGATGTCGGCAAAGGATATTAAATATTTCATGATTATTTCATTTTTAGAGTAGGTGATAACCTGAGCACTTTATGTGTATCAGAAAAATGCTAGCTCTACTGAAGAGATAGAAATACCCATGCAAAAGGGATACTTTTGGAGGCCTTATGAAAATGGAAAGAAATGGGTTAAGACAGAGTGGAGAAAATGGCTTTCAAAGAGAGCCATGGAGAAGGGAAGTGGATTTTGAGTCAGTGTGTGTTGGGGGTGGGGCAGGCAGGAAGGAGTTCTATTTTTGAGGCCTCAGTGATCTAGTCTCTCTAGGAGGCTAGGTTATCAACTCAAATTTCAGGGCAGGGGGCTTAGCATTTTCCAGAGACTGAGCAGGTCACTAATAACTCTTGCAAAATGAAACTGTTAGGCCTGGATGGTGTTGGCACAGGCCTGTAAGTCCTGCAACTTGGGAGGTTGAGGCAGGAGTATTGCAAGTTCAAAACTAGCCTCAGCAAGTTAGTGAGGCCCTAAGAAATTTAGTGAGATCGTGCCTCAAAATAAAAAATAAAAAAGAGCTGGGGATGTGGCTCAGTGGTTATGTGTTCCTGGGTTTAATCTCTGGTGAAAGAAAGGAGGAAGAAAGGAAAGAAAAAAAACGTTAATAAAGTGATAGATTTACTCTCATTTCCCCCAAAGCCCTCCTACTGGTCATAAGACACTGTACCCACAGACCCTACCATGGACGTGGCAGTCACTAAGATGAATATGGAGTTTGGAGATAACCCTGTTCTAATGTCCGAATGATTGCAGAATGCAACTGAGGTGGTAATGTAATGCTGGCAAGAAGTCAGTCAAGGGGAGACCTTGAGTTGTTGCCTAAAGAAAGAAAGATTTATTTATATGTGGCCTTATTCCACTCAGGATTTAAGGTATCTTGTAAGAATGCATGCAATAAAATAGAAAGATGTGGTTCATAAATTTAAAAAAATCAAGGCTGGAAAAAGCATAAAGTATAGAAGAAAAGTCTTCAGATGTGGCTTGTTAGTTGTCTTCAAATAACTGAAGGGTTGTCAGGTGGAAAACATTTAGGGTTATTTGCTATGTGGGTCCAAGAGCATCATGGGCAGATATCAGTCTGTTTGGGGTGCTCTAACAAAATACCATAAATCAGGTTGCTTATAAACAACAGAAACGTATTTCTTACATTTTGAAGGCTGGAAAGTCCAAGGTCAAGGCACTGGTAGATTCAGTATCTGGTGAGAGACCACTTTTTAGCTCATACAGGTGCCTTTTAGGTGTGTCCTCACACATAGTGGAATGGACTAGACAATCTTCTGGGCTCTCTGACCCCACCATGAAGAATTCATCCTCTTTATTCGATCACCTTCTGAAAGTCACGTTCTCTAAAACTTTCACTTTCAGTGGTAGGGTTTCAAAATATGAATGGGAGGGGGTATACATAAAATGTCTACACCACAGCAGAAGAGGTTACAGTAAGGCAGATATCCACACAAGCTAAGGCCAAACTTTTTAACAATGGCGGCTGTTTCACATTGGAATGGACCACCAAGTATGTCTCATGAAGGAGGCATTTAAACAGAGCTAGGAAGCCTCTGTGCTGTCCTTCTATAGAAGCCAGTGGATGCAACGGGAAATACCGGCCCTTAGGGTCATCATTTCAATGATTATGTGACAGGGACTGTTCCCAATGTTGCCCTATAAGTAATGAACTATTTTAAAATACCCCACACAACAATAAAATCGTGTCAAAAGTCATTCTGAGTATCTCTGTGACCTATAGTGTTGTCAGCCCACCTTGGAAATGCCACTGCAAATTGCAAACCCCAAACTTCTGAAGCAGAAATGAACAATCTGCACACGGGAGGAGAGGGAGAGGTGGTGCTGCGGATGATTATCAGCTCATCATTTCCCTGCTCTGTGGGTCATCGTTCTGCAGCTTAAAGAGCTATAAGTATCCATTCTCTCAACATTTGACAAGTGGCTGTTGTTCCCTGACACTCGTCAGGCCCAATGCGAGTCCTTGCAGAGACCATAGTAAGAAAGCACATAAGGTCCCTGCTTTCAGAGTGCTTGTTGCTTAGTGAGAAAACTAACTACATGGATAAAAATATACTTACAAATTCTGGCATGCCTTAGGAAGGAAGAAGAGTATTTCAGGAGAGTGACTAGCTCTAGAATCTGATGGAATGTGAAGAAAGAACGTGTTTACTGATTTCAGTTAAGTAGATGGGGAGAGCATGGGTGGGGGTTCAGATGGAGAGCATTTCAGGCTGCAGGGATGAATGTGCGCAAGATGAAGAAACATGAAGCTTTTGATGATTGTCCAGAAGGGCTGAGTGGAGCCTAGAGACTGATGTCAAAAGGAGAATGAGCATGTTGGGAGAGAGGGGCCAGGAGATGCTCACACCTGCACCAAGGCTGCGAGTGCTCTAGAGAAATATAAAAGGCCCTTGGGGTTGACATAGTCATCTTTTGTACTAGGGGAGTGTCCAAATAACCAATGCACCCCATGAATGAGAGAAGTGCCTAATGAGGAGGAATACCACTGAACTTCAAGTTAACTCCCTGTTACCTTTTGAAAAGGGATTGACAGCCCAGCAAAAGACCTGGACTGACTTAATCTTCTTCTTCTTCTTCTTTTTTTTTTGGTACCAGAGATTGAATCCAAGGGGCACTTAATACTGAGCCACATCCCCAGCCCTGCTTTTTATATTTTATTTAGAGACAGAGTCTTGCTGAGTTGCTTAGGGCTTTGCTAAGTTGCTGAGGCTGGCTTTGAACTTGTGATCCTCCTGCCTCAGCCTTCCCAGCTGCTGGGGTTACAGGTGTGCACCATCGTGCTCACCTGGACTGAATCTTACAGTAGAGGTGACTCCATACGGTGACCTTGAGGTTAGTGGTAGTGATGAGAATGTGGGAGAACCTCAAGATTTCCATGCCAGGTTGTCACTGACCAAGCCAGGGACTGTAATGTGGACACTTGTGCTTCTTCCTGGCTCCCTTTCAGACTCCTAGGCACCTCCTAAAGGATCCTGTGTTTACGTCTTCATCTCCACGGATAATAACTACTCTCTAATTATCACATCTATATTTTACAAGAGCTAATTAGAAAGTGTCTGATAGTCTGGGATTTTCTGACAGAGGTAGTGCACAAATCTAGACCACGTGTCTGGGGATGATGGTTCCAGCTGAATCACTGTCACTGATGAGAGCTGGGAAGTAGAAGCCTCAGTCCACAGGGTCTCCAGCTATGTCAGATATCCTTATGTGGCTTCTCCAGGACTCCTATCTAGCCCATCTCCCAAAGCAACACTACCATCCTCTCCCACCTGCTCTCAGAATCTCAGTGTCGGCAACATTGTCTAAATGCAAATGCTTCTGGGAGGAATCACGTGCTTTGATCTAATTCTGGATTTTAATTTAATAGTATTTAACTCTTGCACACACCATTTCCCTTTCAAAATGTGTTTTTCTACATGTTTCATTTAATGCTGACTGGACCTTGTGAGGTAGGTATCATCATAATTATAACCTGGGATGCTAAATTACTGACCCAAAGTGAAACTGCTAGGCAGAGGCAGAGGCTGAGTGGGGACATTGCATTTCATGTTCCCTCCTTTCCACCAGTTGTCCTCAAGTGAAAGCAGGTGGATCTGTGTCAGGAAGGGAAGCTTGACGATGTGGCCAGCAGAGAAGATGTCCCCATTATTTCTTGAAGTCACAAAACATAAACTGCTGTCAATTTCTCCCCACTTAGTGCTAGTGCAGCTGTCAGAGCACAACAGCTAAGAGCACAGGATGTAGAGGGATATAGGATGGTATTTGAATACTGATCTGCAACATCATTGCCTGTAACTTTGAGCAATTGGTTACAAATTGGGACAGTACCAGCACCTTTGTCAAGAGTCATTGTGATGAATAAATGACTTGATATACAGAGACCATGGTTCTGAAGCATAGTAAATACTATAAAAGCATCTGCTTGATGGTTCTTGTTGGGTGTGTGGGAGACTCCCCGCTGAAGTTAAGTTTCTGTCTGGAGAAAAGAACATCAGTTCCAAGATGAAGGGCGCCAAATTCAAAAGTTTTCTCAACCAATCCTCAAGGCTCCCTGTTCCTGAGTCACTCTGCCAATCAGCACCTGCCGCGTGGCCTTTGCAACCCTTCTTAAGCCAAAGCTTGCAAGAGAGCTCATGGTCTCTGCCCTCTTCCTTTTCTTCCTCTCTCTCTCTCTCTCCCTCTCCCTCTCTGCCCTTCTCCTGTCCTCTCTCTGCCTCTCCTTTTCTTCCCCTTCAGGTAGCCCCCCCCCCAATAAAATCGCTTGGTTGAAACTCCGTCTCATCTTGGGTGAGTCACTCTCACCTTTCAGTACTGACATTATTGGTTGATTTCAGCGCTCAACTTCCTTGTTGATTTCAACCTGGAAAGGGAAGGCAAATTTGCTTCCTGCTCCAGGTTAATTGGAAATGGCTAACTAGAAAATTGTGTTGAGAAGGATTCTGAGGCTTACTGTAGTCTTGGGTGAAATGATGAGCATCTCTACATGGGTGCTGAATGATCGTGCCCTTTTCTGGAGAGCCCTCTGCGGGGCTTGCCATAGTCCATGCTGTGCCCCTCAGCTTCCCAGTCTGCCTTAGGCATTTGCTCTGATTCTTTTTTTCAGGAGTGGTCCAGTTCACACTAAATGTAGTTTCCAGCTCATAGGGGCACTGACTGCTTGGGTGAGAACAAAGAATTTAATGAATAGGAACTATGTATGGATGGGTTCTAACAAGAGAGGTTAGCAGGCCAGGCATTCAAAAATAACGCAGTGCAGCCACCCTGGGTGAGCCAACACAGGATGTAGATTTCCATCTAAATAAAAGACATTCTTTTTGAAGATCTTACAACAGCTGCAACTTGAGATTCCCACAAATGCTTGGAAATCTGTCCATCTTACCTGAGTGGTGGTACATATCCAAGCAAGGATGCCAGTAAGAATGTGAGACAGTTTCTGAGAAGCAGAATCTGGATCACCCTTCCAAGAAGCCAGTGATCTGTAGCGCTGACCTAGCCTTCGAGCATTTGGGGTACAGCATTTTTATGGAGCCTATGGTTAAACATTTGCTGATCTCTCTTCTGGAAGACTTACAGAAATACAATAATTGTTATGAATGGTCTCCCAGAGCGAGGCTTCTCAAAGATTCCATTCTATGATCTGCAGAGAATTCTAACAGCGTTCTCAGTGTTTTTCTTTTGCCTCTACCAAATTTATCAATGTCTTGGGTCATTATTTGCCTGATCACAACAACATGCATTCATGAATATGTATCAGCTAAAATCCTGCAATTTTATGTGTTAATTTGCTCATGTCTTTAGGTGTTTATAGCAATTAAATAAGACCTTGATAAATTTAGAGGAAATAAAAAAAGCTTTGATATTATGAGTGTTTATGTGGTTGAATTGCAGGCTCTGAGATAAATTGTGTTTTGTGCAACTATTAATTTGTTGATTGGCTTATTAGATATTTTTGCATTTAGCTACATTTCTTCTTAGGAAACAAGTTGTCTCTTGGCTGCTTCGTTTGGCCTTCTGATGTTCATTTTAGCTTAGGAATGATCTAAGTGTGTGTGTGTGTGTGTGTGTTTTGTAAGAGCCAGTGTATTTGGACTATGTCAGAAACAGTATAACTTGAGTATAGAGGTGCTAGTTACCCTGTTGGTTGATCAAGTTTTCGAAATTTATTTTTAGTTAACAAGGGCAGCTACAGGGAGGAGCAGGGTCCTGTTGAAGTCCCACCAGGGAGGAGGGGATCCAGGGAAGGAGGGGCTCCAGTGATACCAGAAGTCACAGGGAGAAGGGAACAGTGACCAAAAGTTCTGGCTGTTTGACAAGAGCAAGCTAGTCCTGTAAAACTTGGTGCTGGGTAATTCTAGTAGGTGCAGTTCCCAAGACAGGGCTTGGTAGGGTAGGGCTTTGGATCAGGGTCCAGGAAACGTGTGTCATCCTGGGAATCAGAGTATGCCAGGGTAGAAAGAGCACTGCATCTAGTTGAGTGACAGTGGCAGCAACTTGGTCACAGGCCATGACTCCAGGAAGGGGAGGAGGTGAGCTGTCAGATTTAGCAACTAAAATGCAGGAGGTCCTGTTAAATTCAAAATTCCAATGAACAAAAAATATTAGGATAGCATGTTCCATGTGCTACTTGGGTATACTTATACTCAAACATTATTTGTTGCTTATTTGAGATTCTACTTTAACTGAACATCTCTATTGGATCTGGCAAACTTAGGTATGTGTGTTAGGGGTGTTGTGGGTGGGTTGGGGGCACTCGACAGCATTTGAGGAATTCTCACTAATCTGGAAATGATGGAGAGGTTGGCTGAGGGATAACAGGAAAGACTGAGGGAGATAAAGTAGGATGGTTAGTGTGTATGAGAGAGACACTACACTCTCCCTGTGTAGACAGACATAGGGAGAAAGAGAGATTAATCCTGAATAATTTTATGTAGGTTTTGAGACTCACTTATTTTCTTAATTTCGTGTGTGTGTGTGTGTGTGTGTGTGTGTGTGTGTGTGTGACTATTTTGTAAGAGCCAGTGTATTTGGCCCATGTCAGAAACAGGATATTTGTTGGTTTTCATATGAAACGCTCAAAGCTGTATGTACCCAAAGTGAGGCCATCTCACTAAGAATGAAAATTTCAGTCTTCTGAAATGGTTATCTTGATAATACTGGACACATGAATGTTTGGAAACATTTGGATGATGGGTGTACTTTAAATAAAAACCACATGACTGAGTGCATTTTTCCATTTTTATCTAGATATTTTGGAATAATCTAGACAGCCAAACAGGCTCATCTCCAAGAAAGAATGTATCATCATAATGAGGCAGGAGATTTTCAAACTACTTTTTGATTTTTTTCCAGTTTTTTTTAAAAAAAATGTTAAAAAAATATGTTTTCACTTCTTCATATCACTTTAGAGATCTTTGATTTCCATCCTATCCCCTGCCCAGTTCATGGCACAATATTTGGCACATAATAAGTGCTGAATAAACTCTTTTAAAATGAATGGACAGGTGAGGGGATAGGTTATTCTTAAATAATTTAGTACAGAGATTATGCTAAAGCAATGAAGATCTCTTTGCTTAGAAGAGATGAGGGCAGACATTTATTGGGTGTGTGCTATAAGACAGGAACTGGTCAAGACAGTATGTATTATTTGTATGCATGTATGTGCATAAACAGATGAATGGGTGTGTACATGTACTCCTATAATCACCTTGTGAGTAAGCACATGTAGCCTGCTTTACATTTGAGTAAACTCAAAAGTGGTTAAATAAATTGTGAAGATTCTCATCTACTAAGAAGGAAGGCTGAGACATTACTGATTTGTTTTCACATCTCTTAGATTTCTTATAGAATTCCTTGAACGATCTATGGCAATTCTTAATGCTTTTGAGAGCTTATTATCATTTTCAGAATTTGATGAAAGCCAGGGTGTTCTCACTGAGATAAAAGGAAATAGTCCTAATTTTCAAAACAATGTGAGTTCCTCACGGACCCTTGATCAAGACCCTCATGATGAGAAAATATCAAGTTTCTTTACCTAGATCCAGGGCTAAAGATAGGATTGGCCTGAAAGCAGTGCAGCCATGCACACTTATGTGACAGGAGCCTTCTCTCCTGGGGGGACAAGGGATCTGCCTAAACTTCAGAGAGCCAATGTGCTTCTTCCATCCCCAGGGTGATCACATAGCTCTGCAGGCAAATAGATGCTGGTTTAATATTTAAAAATCGTAGATTCTATAATTCCTATTTTCCCTCATTTAGTAATTAGAAAACAAATAAACAACAATCACCATTTAGTAATTAGAAAACAAACAAACAATAAACAGCAATCACCAAAATAAAATTTTGTGCTGGAGGCGGGGGATGGCAGTGACAAGATGAAGCTAGTCCCTGTCCAGATTTACCATGAGGCGAAAGACCATAAATTTCAGGTCTCCTCATATCACAGCCTTCTGAGACCCTGGATGGAGCCTTAAGAATGCAGTTTTTTTTTTTTTGGTAAAATATGCAAAATAAAGTACCTTAAAGGAAACCCTGCCTGGCCCTGTAGGAGCTGCAGGAACCACAAACTCTGCATCTGTCTGTCACTATCCTGGTGGAGCTTAGAGTCCACAAAGGAAGATGAGCATTAAATATGTGATTTCAGGAGGAAGGGGTTTGGAGGCCTGGGTAGCTACAGCAAGGGAATTCGTTTTTGTTTTTGTTTTGTTTTAAATTTTTAAAAGGGGTGTGGGGGGGTCAGTTAATTGGCCTTTAATTTGAGTTCTGAAAGATGGATGGGTAGCTTTTGGGTTTTGGCTTTTTGGCAAGGGAGGAGCTGCATTTACAAGGGAGGGAATTTGGTGTCTAGGTGCTGGGAAGGGCTGGGATGGTTTGTGAGCCTAAACAGGGTAACCCAGGGCAGCTGAGCAGAGAGGGAAGGGGAGGCTTGAAGGAAGGTCCCCCATAAGAAGGTGAAACGTGGGAAGCATTTTGATTACGAACCTCCCCCCCTCAGCAGGGGAAGGTACTTGATCAGATTTGCAGTTAAAAAAAAAAAAAACAAACCAAAAAACATAAAACAAACAAACAAAAAAATAAACAACCCACTCTGACTCTAGTGTGGAGAATGGATTTGTTTTGTTTTGAAAAATCTCCAGACACACCACCTGGAACACAGCTGTGACTTGATAAACAAGTGGAATATTCTTTGGTACAGTGAGGGGAAAATAATCGTCTCCAAGGCCCTGTACCTTGGTCTACGAGAGGAGCCTGGCCAGCAGCTGATGCACTCAGTCAGAAGTATGCAGGTGAAATTAGGGCAGCTGATTTAACAAGTGGGAACCTGTGTTGTCCTTTGCAGATGTGGGTACGAGTGAGCGCTTTCCCGGCATCCTGCATTCTTTCTGTGTTCCAGCTCACGTTGGGTTGGAAGCAGTGAGGATTGAGAGAGATTGCTAGTGAACCCAACTTTCAGAACCCATAACCTGTGATGAGGATGAGGATCAGGACAGTGTCAATGACAGTGCCCAAATCACCTGGGCCCTCTAAGACACCCTCAGAGCAGAAGTGACTGTTTAAGCAGAAGGCCAATAAAAACTGGTTAGTCCTGCAAACTGCAGACAGACGGATTGAATCGGATCTCCAGACTTCATCAGGCCGTTGGCCTTCGTTATCTTGCCAAACCTGCCCTGGTTTCAGACCTATCTCTGGATCTTTGCTATCATTCACCTTCCTGGTTCTGCTTCTTGGGCTGGTTTTGCCCTAGAGTCACTCTCCTACTCTTCTCCTGGAATGGTTCATCATTCTTACTGTCAGGGAGAAGGCTTGATATGGATTTAACCCAGAGGTGGCTGACTGTCCATGCAGTTCCACATTAGACCAGCGCTGAGACTGGCAGTCAATGTGGGGACCTCATGGCCAGTCCTCCTCTGCGGCACAAAATCAGTCACGGAGGCTCAAATCTGTGGCCCTGGATGACCAGGAAATATGATAATCACTAGAAGAGAGTGTTTATTAAGTGGAAAATAAAATATATTTTAGGTGTAAAACAACTTTTCATGCTCAAAGAGTAAATATAATTATCCACAAAGTTAACTAATGATCTAACATTTGATTTTTATCAGCTTGAATAAATACAGAATTAAAAAATTTCATATCGATCTGCCTCCAGTAAATCAAGCTCAGGAAACAAACGTGCTTTCTAAATTGTCCATAGATTTCGCACAGAGTCTTGGCATGGAGAGTTAAAAAATTTAAATTCTGGGGTAATCAGGAGTAAGGGTTTTAATGTTCCCATTATCTTCTATGACGAAAAGTCTTAGTTCTTTGATTCGGGGAGGCATTTTTGATTTCTATTCTTTGGAGTCCAGAGGGGGAATGGAGGAAATCAAAGGAAGGAAGGGGCCAAGGCAAACAGGAGGGAGGCAGGGAACCCAAAGGAGTGTCAGGGTGGAGGGAGTGGGAAGATGGCGCTGAACAGCTGCTGCTGTCAACCCTGACCTATTTCCTCGAGCCCTGGGAGCTGTCCCTGCTCTCAGCAACAGTGACACTGCCTTCAGGCGGCTCTGTAGCCAAGCCACA